TGATTGGTCAATTTGACTGGTCACACTGATTGGTCAATTTGACTGGTCACATTGATTGGTCAATTTGACTGGTCACATTGATAGGTCAAATTGACAGGTCACATGTTGATCATTCTGACATGTCCTGGCCGTCATGTCCAGCTACTGTATTGAGCAGCTGATATTTTCAGTCCTGAAAAGTCAGACAAATCTGTAATGAATAAGAGAAAAAAGATCATACCTCCAAAGTAACTGCCAGTTGGTGTACACATTCTCCATTGTCCCTGATACATCCCAGGTGTGTTTGGAGAGATCATATTCACACTCACATCTGCTGCTTCACCTGGTGCAAGGGACTGAACTTCTACTGATTTGATCGGACCAAGTTGGTCTCCACTTGTGAATTTCAGAAAGACACCAGACGGCCACCTTCCTGGTCCTTTAGAATGATACAGATACTGTATATTACTGCAGATTTTGATGTTCTGCGAACTCAGACATGTCAAAGGCTTGTTGTGAAATTTGTTTTTCACTATCGCCAGTCAAGAACACAAAAGGTACAGACTGATTATTTTTGATTGATGGCAGCAAAAAACTAAATTTCAGTGTGCAGCTTGTAACTACAGAGTTTGCAGAATATCGAAAACCTTAGTAAATTCATATTGTCACACTTACATGTTTTAGTACATGTTAAATGTTTCTTCCTGTTCCAAATATTGCATGATCGTACAGTACAGCTCACAGGAATGTTAACATGCTATCAAGCGATTTCCGCAGGCAGTCACCCCAGGGACTACACTCAAGTAAGTGTAGTTTGTAAAAAGTAGTATTTTGTACTTGCACTACAAATTTAGGAATGTACAACATTAAGTGTACTACATGCACTGAATGCATGCATGGAATGTTAACATTCTCATGAGCTGTACTGCTTGTACTTGGTATTTACTCCACACCATTGAAAATACATCCAATCAAAAATACAGGAAAGCCATAGTTGTATATTTGGTAGCATTTTACTGATTCAATAATATTGCCAGTTAGCTTGCAAGTTCCCATGTAATTCATAACTTCACTTACCACTGTTTTGTAGCCTCCATGTCTTTACAAATGTTGAGCAAGGAGGTACTGACTCTCCTTCACCAATAGTGACATCCTTGACAAACGACATGCTGGGTAACTTGTCATTGGGACTGTTGAAGTCATAGTATGCACAGACGGCAGCCTGTCAATCAAATGTTACCAGTTATATACCAACAAATAACAATAAGTCTGATAAATAGATGAATATTCTAAAATCAATACACAACCATCCAAACATAAATATCATTTATATGATATATTTATATATGTCATAGTTACTAATGAGTCAACTTACAAAAATTTTGTCTTATGTACAAATTTAAATGAAAAAGCCTACATTGCACAGTTTTGGGAACCTTTATGCCTTGGAGAGGCGCAAACCTTTTGCCAACCAAGCATATGATAGAGTGCAACGGTGCAATTCTGCACTATTGATCAAAAATCACACCGAATCACACTTTCTGTCATTTTTTGCATGATTTTGGGGGGAAATACCCAGAATAATTGTTAACAAATCTATGAAATATTTTTTATTGGTTTGATAAAATTGATTTATATTAATATAATTATTATATCTATACACTTGTTTATATTATTGCATAGACAGCTAGGTATACACGCGGTAATCATTATTGATCTTATTATACAAGATTGAACAAGATGTCTATTGACAGCAGGGTTATAATTTACGATTATGTTACAACCAAATGCTTTTATGTTGTTGTCTAAAGGTCCATTATTTGGATAAACCAGGGAGGTTTAACTTTTATAATGCAAATGCAAAATGCTTAGCAATTATCACTGGAAAAACTGCAGGTACTTTGTACCCAGTTGTCATAGTACCAGGAATTATTAAACAAGCTGCATACAAGTATATGTACATTCTACTTATACTTGTACATTCTACTTATAAACAAAATATTTATTCTTTAATTCTACTTATTGGATTACCCAGTACATAACATTAATATAATAGTTCAGATATTTTCCATTATAATTCAAATTTTTGTTTAATAATTATCACTGAAAAACCGCAGGTACTTTGTACCGAGTTGTCATAATACGTACCAGGCATTTTATTGAACAAGCTGTGTACAATTGTAAGTACATTAACTTATACTTGTACATTAAAAAATATTTTATTTTTTTAATTCTACTTATTGAGAATTATCCAGTACATAACATATATTCTTCCCTTGCTAATAACTAATGAAAATGTAAATATAATTCTCAAATTTTTGTTGAGACACAAAATTAATTCACTGTGAAATATTTAAATAATTAATGCCTGTTGTTGAGTGCTATTACAATTCTTAAAACACAATTAAAAAACCTTTTTTCTTCTTTATGCATTGGTTAAGAAACAAAAATAAATATTACAAGAAAAATGATGCTATGGTTAACCACTATCTTGACACCAACCACATCACATTCTGTACTGTAGTTGAATTATTCAAACACAATAATGTAACACTATAAAAACCTGTTAGGAACATTTATATAGACAGAAAAAACCCCTTTCGTATATCCATACCTAGGCTGAGATGATGATGGCAATGATGATGATGGTCATGAAGATAATGATGATGATGATGATAGTGATTCAACATTATCCTCTATGCCTATGTGGCAGTTATGGCCAACTTCATCATGATTATTATTATTATTATTATTTCATTATCATGCATAAACCTATTTCTATGCCAGTATGATCCCTCAACTCACATACTATCATTTATTATGAACCAAATTGAATGCCAGTTTAAGTAGTACATGTAGAAACATGATGTATAGAAGATATATCATTATCATCATATCATCATCATCATCATTATCATTATTAGCCAAATGATAAGAAGTGTCTTAAGGCTGGTTTAGACGGTGCGATTTTTGCCTACAATTATCGTATACAGCACGCTTGCGTCTGTCATAGGCGAGTTGTAGGCTTGATTTACACGCTACGACTCTAGTTTTAGTAAATAAAACATAAAACAAAAAAAGAAATACTCTATGCAGTGTGTGAATATCATAAATTATATACGAAACAAAACAACAGTAAATCTTTTTACTATATAGCAGTTGTTTTACAAACTACATACTGCAAGTAAATTTCTAGTCTTAGACCTAAACTAAATAATGAAGTCAGATAAGTTTAAAATATCTTAATATTTCAAATTCTTATAATAGCAGCCATTTTATATGTTATTCATAATAATAACATAAACTTCTTAACAAACGCATCATTCTTCGTTTGCAATAGACGTCATAGCCACCATGTTGGAAGAATTTGACAAAAGATTTTTCAATGAATTCTTTTGTTATATCTTCCAACATGGCAGACATCCCTTTTGTTATTGTGCTCTCTTGTAATTGATTGCAAACGCATCATATAACGTCTTGATGCTTTTTACAAAAGGACCAGACGGATATCAAGTTTGTGGAAAAAATTGCAAAAAAAGGCAGTTACTCCTGGTGAACAGGTAGCGTTTTAGTGCAGATTTAAACTTGTTAGCTTGGTTTAAAACGGTAGAAATAAAATAWTTTTTTTTTTTGCATAATTTTCTGGTCTAGCACTTTTAATCTTGAATCCTTAATCCTTAATTATTGATAATAAAAACTAAAGTATATATTATTTTTTATGGTCAAAACGTACCGGTATAGTCTTACAAGGATCAATATCACAAGTTACATAACAAAATATTACAATTGGTCCAAGTGTACTTGTGTCATTATAGATAAAGTTTAAAAGCAAACATATATTGTAGTTAGATATAGAAAGCATTCATGGTTAGTTTAAGTTGTTTTATACCTGTTGACCCAAACACAAAACACCAGTCGTGGTTGGTACAAGGAATGACCGCTAACTAGATCTAGAGGAATAATACGCTTAATACACAGAAAGCAGATCTAACCCAAGTCTGATTAATAAAAAATGCGGTAATTTAAATCCTAAGTTTGCTGACAGCACTAGCAAGACTCTTAAATACATCAACAAATTAATGAGATGATTTGATAGTATTAGTCTGGCAGTCCGAACATATTTGTAAGGTGAACAGCTCAAACTCACCTGAAGATTCCTGGAAGTAGTCGTATCCAATCATTGATATGAGAATTAAAGATAGAGATAAATACAGTTAAAATAGATTATATCAATGAAAAATGGGTATGTTGCTAATAAATAAGTGTGTATATTATATCTAGAAGTGGTTAGAAAGTGTTACCAGTTGGACATATCGAGGAAGAACGCACATCCAGCTTGATTTAACTGAAAGTCCAGTAGCCTTTGGAGCTCATTTATCAACACTTCACGGTCCGTCGTTCCCAGATTACTGAACTTCATCATGAGATCTTGGTCCACATCACAGTCTACATCCATGGCTATGTTTCAGGGGGAATCGAAGGCTAAATTAATGGTTCAAGTGGAAGTTTAGAAGCAATTTTTTCAGTCGTTTCGAACATTCGATCGAATCAAATTTGTTTTGGCCCAGCGTTTCAACGAAACTCATGACGTCATTATACAAATAGTTCAAACCGATGGCTCGAAACACCGCAGGCTCAACTAAACATTATTTAACAAAATAGCCTCAAAAATTACTTTTTTAACATTTTCAAAGGATAAGACCTGGATAAATATACTTAAAACTATAAAATTTGGAGTATTTTTTATTATAGATTGAGTTTCGTAAAATTTGGTACCCAGAGCCCACGTTCCTCTCGGTGCGGTACGAGATTTGATGACTCAACTGGAGGGGAGGGGAGGGGGGAGGGGAAGGTACAGTTGAATGACTTAAAGAAAATATCCACTTGAAAAGCTTACTAAACAGCGTGGAAATTTGCGCTAACAAAATTGCCATGCCTCATAAAGCGAGATTTTTTCTCTATAAAATCTCATTTACGAGTATATAATATTTTTGAGGTACTCGATCCAGTTCACCTCAAGGCGTGTTTTTTTCACAGGTGTTTTCATTCTTGGATCAAGGAACGCCTATGGTTTTTCACGCTTCGCTGAGAAATTCTTGACTTTTCTTAAAGTTGTTTTGAGTTTCTTTAAAATGGAGAGAGGTTTTGAGCAGGAAAACCTCTTTACGATCAATAAACATGCGGAGGAATTCAAAAAGAAGGTAAATAAGTTGAAAATTTTGATTTTGGGGATATATTTTATTGTAAACATTTCACATTCATTGTAAACAAAATGGCAGACATTTACAAATCAAACACATCATAGTGACATAAGAAATTATTAAGCTTATTTTACACCCAGTTCTTTTATTCATTCTCATTTGTCGTAGGTTAAAGTTCTCATCGACAACAAAGAAGAGAAAATGGCCTTATTTAACGCCTTAAAGGAATATCATGAGTGAGAAGAAATGTCTTAAAAATCAATTAAGATTTGTAACTAACTTAACAAGTCATCGATTAGACGCGAGCTGATCTAGCAAGATCTAGATGTTACACTATAAATATTTATTCATTTTTATTTTGTGATATCAAATTTCAGTATTGTCAGCTCTTAATTTGTGGTAATTTAAACCACATTTTTAGTATGATTAATTAAAAGTTAAAAATATAGGTCTAGTTGCTGACTTGGATTACACTAAACACTTGAACCTCTTGGTCATTATGTTCGAAATACATATTTATGAGTAATTGTAGTATTAGCTCTCTGGTAATAGAACTTAATAAACAAATGTTTGTACAGATAAATTATTATAAGTCAATAATGATTGACAATTGATGGTATAATATACCCTTTTAGACCACATCTGATCTTTTTTCTAATATTAGATATTTAAATTAGCTGCAAGGTTATAAGATACCTTGTTTTGTTTGCCTTTTAGCTCAGAAAGTTTTATTTAACTGAGAGGAGAGACAGCAAAAAATGGGAAAATGAAAGTGCCTCACCTCGCACCCCACCCCATCCCACCCCCACCCCTGCTGGTATGGCAAATGTGTCTTAATGTATTTTGCATCGTAGTTTAAGGTCAAAAACTTTTGTTCCAGTTGACAAGTTCTGTAATCTAACTTGTCAGTCTGTTTACATTTTTTAAATTTTTTTCTTTTAGGAATGGCAACCTTTCCAAACTTGTTTTTGAAATCAGATCTATTATCAACACTCCTAAAAGATACCCTCTCTATAAAGATGTGAGGTAATATAGAGCTAAATATTCTGATAGTGATATCTTGAATCTGTGTTGCTATGGGATTCTAAGGATTAGTATACGACAGGACTTTGTTAAATATTAGCTTGCTTTGTTTACACTTCCTTAAACCTTTGTCTGCTGTTATATTCATACTCATATATTTATATATGAGTCACACATTTACATATTTTGGTCTCTCTAGATATATCATAAAGCCTGAAGACGTTATGTCGTTTCTCACAATGATTCCAAATTCTCCAAGGTACTGTCACTGAACAATATACTTCTATAAATATGAGGTCTGTAAGTAAGAAAACTGTTAATGGTTATAATAATTTATTGCATATTTTCCTCACATAATAAAGTTATTGAATCGTATTAAATGACACCACTATAGATATATTTTTGAATAGATTTAAGATTTCACCTTTTTTTCAAATTGCACAGCATTGATGTTATTAATTGTTCATCTAGTTATTTCATTTTCACTACCGTACTGGCAGGCTGTTTTTTTGCTATAATAGTTACTCAATTCATCATTTTAATGTTAAAACTGAAAAGCCGTCCTTAAAATTGTATACATGACATGTCGATGGTAATTGTATCTGCATCCGATGTCTACTGTTTTAGGGAACAGCTGTATATACATATAATTGTTTATTATTATAAGTGATCTGAATGTTATTGAGAATGTTGTATATAACATGATGGCCTCTGTATATACCTCATTGTGTATAGAAACTGATGATATTTTTGTATAATTTAATTCTAGTGATGGGATACACATGATTAAAATACCACATTCAGGAAGGGATACTTTAGGATTCAGCATTAGAGGAGGTGTGTATCTTTTACTTTAACAGCATGTATCATTTATATACAGTATGTCCAGAGGTTGTTTCAGTGTTTCAGGGTTCAGTCTGTGAGCTAGCTCTGCCCTGACTTAGATCAGCCCAGAGGTTATTTCAGGGTTCAATCTGTGAGTTAGCTGTGCCCTGACTTAGAACAGCACAGAGGTTGTTTCAGGGTTCAGTCTGCGAGCTAGCTCAGTGCCCTGACTTAGATCAGCCCAGAAGTTAACGTTGTTTCAGGGCATTGATTAAATTTGAATCTTTAAAATTTAGTCATTGAAATTTAAAGGTGTTTTCTGTGTGTGCGTATGTGATGCACGACCCCATAAGAGTATGCTTAATTACTCAACATGTGGAAATAAAGTTTATGTGTATTTTGTGTGTGTGTGTTTCCAGGTAAGGAACATGGTCTTGGGGTCTTTGTGTCGCTTGTCCAGAGAGGGTCACCTGCAGATATTGTTGGGCTGAAGGTAATAATTTCCAGACTAAATGTATTATATTATTTTTACAGAGCCAGTTGCATTTTAAAGGCTGGATAAATTATTCTCTGGTAAAGATCGAGTTATCCAGAGTGTATATATTTTATTTAGCATAAAATACCAACTTGCGTACTTGCTAATGTGACAGAGTCAAAAGACACTATTTTGGACAGTAATTATTTAGTCATAAATCTATATTTTTAATTAGGAATGCCTCGTGTACACATAGGAATGTAATTCTTTAGTTAACTGTTTGCGTGGAAAATGCGTAAGCAAGAAATAATTTCCGTACGTAATTACATT